GTATGTTTTATCATTTAACTTGGTATGTTTTATCTTTATCTGGTATGTTTTATCTTTTAACTGGTATGTTTTATCATTTAACTTGGTATGTTTTATCTTTTAACTGGTATTTTTTATCTTTAAACTGGTATGTTTTATCTTTTAACTGGTATGTTTTATCTTTTAACTGGTATGTTTTATCATTTAACTGGTATGTTTTATCTTTTAACTGGTATGTTTTATCTTTTAACTGGTATGTTTTATCTAGGTGCATTCCTCATTCCGTACATTGTCTGTCTGACGCTGTGTGGCCTGCCTCTATTCTTCCTGGAGGTTGCCATTGGTCAGTTCTGTGGGAAGAGTGCAGCACATGTGTGGAGTGTCTGCCCCTTCGTGAAAGGTAGGAACCTTTGTGAGTGAGTGAGTTTTGTTTTACGCCACACTCAGCAATATTCCAGCTATATGGCGGCAGTCTGTAAATAATCGAGTCTGGACCAGAACCGATCCCGTTAGTCGCCTCTTACGACAAGCATAGTCGCCTTTTGTAGCAAGCATGGGTTCCCAATTGCGCAGATCGATCCTCATGCTGTTGATCACTGGATTGTCTGGTCCAGACTCGATTATTTACAGACCGCCGCCATATGGCTGTAATATTGCTGAGTGCGGCGTAAACCTAAACTCACTCACTCACCCCTCAGGCACCTGAATGGTAACAGTCATCTCATAACATGACCCACTGGGTACTCATTTTTGTGAACAGAGGCGTATTATACAAAAAGCCGTGTTATCCGTGGTTCGACTTAACCGAAACGTTCCTTCGACACAACCGTTGACACATCAATGTTCTAGACAACGGTGTTTAATCGTGCTAAACTGTCAGGCGCGTAGCAAGCCAATTTTTTCGTGTAAGCCCGAAAGGTGGCAAAGTTATATATTTATATAGTATTGATGGCTTGCCCATCCCTTTTAGCAACAATCATGTGTAAGCCCAGTTTTTTAAATAATAGTAGCTACGCCCCTGACTGTATAGATTCCGTTTGCTTGTTTGAGACAGAAGATGTCACGTATATCCTTCATTGTTCATAGGAGTCGTGGGAAATGGGTAGCCTAGCGGTGAAAGCGTTTGTTCGTCACGCCGAAGACCCGGGTTCGAGACTCCCCACATGGGTATAATGTGTGAAGCCCATTTCTGGTGTCCCTTGCCGTGATATTGCTGGAATATTGCTAAAAGCGGCGTAAAACCATAATCACTCTCACTCATAAGAGTGAGTGAGTGAGCTTAGTTATACGCCGCACTCAGCACTATTCCAGCGATATGGCGGCGGTCTGTAAATAATGGAGTCTGGACCAGACAATCCAGTGATCAACAGCATGAGCATCGATCGGTGCAATTGGGATACAATGACATGTGTCAACCAAGTCAGCGAGCCTGACCACCCGATCCCGTTAGTCGCCTCTTACGACAAGCGTGGGTTACTGAAGATCAATTCTAACCCGAATCTTCACGGGTAGTTTGTACACGTTTGTAGCTCGAATATCGCCGTCGACATGAGTCCCCTTTGTTCTCTAAACAACAAACAAACAAAAACATGATGTCTCTGATTTATGTATCAGGTCTTGGAATCGGCATGCTGACAATCTCTGGCATGGCAATGGCAGTATACACTGTTCTGTGTGCCTGGGCACTCTACTACATGTACTTCTCCTGTAGAACAGTCCTGCCCTGGACACACTGCGGGAACTCGTGGAACTCTGAATATTGTGTCCAAAGTATAAAATCATTTAAAGGTAAAAAAACAGGCGGATATCCGCTCTTTTAGGGGCATTTAGTAGCGATGAACATGTGTCAAAACCTTTTAGATTTGACTTTCTTTACTTTGACGTTTTGGAGTTAATATCAGACAGCATTCCCAAGTTGACCCAAGGTTGGCAAAGGTTGGCAACGTCGCGGTCGGATTTCATACGTTTGCCCAACGTCAGGTATAATCGCGGAAATCGTATTCAAGGGACGCTACTCCAAACTGTTAGCTTTTCCTAGAGGGCGCTGTGGTTCTTCGCGCAGACGACGCGACATGATGACAAGCTCGGCCATCGGAGTACAGGTTTCCTCGAATATATAGCGGTGAGTCTTTCATGATGTGGTTTTATTATGTCCGAACTCACTCTCCTACCCAGAGTTCAATGCTAAGTCATCACTGCGCCGGAGTGTGGTCCGAACTGTGCCCACCGAAAAAAATCAGTCATGGTTCTTTCAGAAATACCAACATCAATGATTATTTTCTTGAAACGATAGTGTTTTTTATTAATACAAAATGCTTCTTTTTATCTTTAATTCAAGGGATTGGTGACATAATCTATTGGAATTATTTATGAATATTAATCAATTCAAAACTACCGTTAAGAGTAACGTTACGCATTAGATTGAATTAATTAAGTGGTTATCTCCATTTCAAGCATTTGACATCTTCCATTGAAAAGTGCACACTGCATATCAGACTTGATGTTTACAAATAAAATGAAAATAAAACATTGTTATTTTTTTTCTCCATTTTATTGTTATTGTAAATAAACTCTAAACTGTAAACAATTAAAAAAATGAGGGTTTACTTTAGACAATGTCACTTTATTGTGAGTGCTAATGTCAGCTTTGTCTGTCAATGACTGGCTGGCTGAGTATGGTTTTAGCAATATTCCAGCAATATCACGGCGGGGGACACCAGAAATGGGCTTCACAAGTTGTACCGATGTGGGGAATCGAACCCGGGCCTTCGGCGTGACGCTGTCAATGAATGACGTGTCCGTCATAAATGTGACATTAGTAACAGTAATCATATGGCATGTTTGAGTGGCATTTTAAAAGTTGAGACGTACAATATAGAACAATTTTTATGGATAACAACTTAATCGCAATCACGAAATAAAGAAGTTGTTATCCATAAAATATGTTCTATATAGTAATCATGTGAGTGAGTGAGTGAGTATGGTTTTACTTACTTTTTTAGCAATATTCCAGCAATATCACGGCGGGGACACCAGAAATGGGCTTTACACATTGCACCCATGTGAGGAAGCGAACCCGGGTCTTCGGCGTGACGAGCGAACGCTTTAACCACTAGGCTACCCCACCGCCCCAAAGAAACAATAGAATTGTATTATTAATATATGTGAATTAAATTAGATTAGCAACATATCTGCCACACTGTGATAATTTCTTACAATTCCAGCTAATACTTTTTAATGTACCGGTTTTGTTGCAAATGTCACATTTATGACGGACCTAAATGTTGCTAATGTCTGTCAAAATCTGACACTAACATCCTGTTAGTTTATAAATAACACAAAAATAAGGGTGGTATCTCATCTTTCATATTTTGCGCATTAAGTAACCACAGACCATTCACACATATCTAAAAAATCTGATTTTTGCCTCCTTAAAATTGTTATCGATAATCACTGATGTGTGCAGTTTTCAATGGAAGTGAATAACGTGTTTAGTTAAAACGACTGAATTGTTTCGACATTTTCTGAAACCATCTAAGCTATCATATTTTAAAAATTTCCCCAACATCTAAATAGTGTTGGGAATTGGTTAAAATTTCATAATTGATGATTGGTTCATTACAACCGATCAATCGTCGAAAATAATTGGTTAGCATCATGTATGAAATGTTCCTGGTTATTTTTGTAAAAGCACAAAACGTGAAGAAAAAACATGTTGTTCTTTGGGGTGATTTTGCAAATTGCACATCTTTAAAGGATGAATAGTATCTTAGGAACATAAATTTCGTGGGATTTTAAAGATACATTCAATTGTCACTTGGAACGAGCTTGTAGTGCTCATGAAATGTAACAGACAAAACCAACGTGTGAAAAATATTGTAAATGCAAAAAGTGTTCCAGAATTGTGGGTGTTCGATTATGAGAAAACATGATCGATTGTTTGGTCGTTTATTCACTGCGACAAATCAGAGTTCATGTTGTATTATACGTTGCATGGGAGCGGTGTTCTCAGGGCTCCTTTTCATTATATATATATTTTTTTACTATGAACTGTTTTTCAGTAAATTCTGTTCATTTCAGAAACTAGTTGTTAGTCTAGGTTAATCTATCTACTTGGTTAATTAAGAATGTGATAGCTTGTGGTTTCTGTGCAGGTGATGTTTACAGTTCGTGGCAGCATATTCACTTAAAGTACTGATCATACAGGAGTGGTCATTCCATACAAAAAGCATGCACGATGCAAAAAATAATTGAAGTGTCTTCTAGAATGACAATATCTAAATAAAAACTTAATTTTAAAAAACATTATTTACATTGAAATCAGTTGAGTATTTTTTCTTCCGTGATCCAGTGACAAGGATGTTTTAAAAGGCAGCCAATGTGTGTTTATTTAAAAAAATAGATGACTTGACTTGTCGACTTTAACGCTAAAACTGCCAAAAAATCACTGACGGGTCTTTCCTTTATATAGTACTAAGACCCCGTCAGTGATAGTATATGATGTTTATGTGGTCATGTCATAGGGTGTTTGTTGCATTGGTTTATTTAGAGGCCAAGGCACAAGGATAGACCTTCGATGCAGATGAAGATCTCCTATATATCTTCCGTCTCTTCATCTGATGACTGAAATATAGGGTCACCTTCCACTCAACCCAAGTTCTGACTTGTAATTTAATAAATAAATAAACTTAATCTAAACCAGAAATATTTGTTGTTCATTATGTTTCTGTCATTATCAAACTTTTAATGGATCAAGAAAATTGATCACCCGTGAAGATCCGGGTTAGAATATTGATCTTCAGTCACCCATGCTTGTCGTAAGAGGCGACTAACGTGATCGGGTGGTCAGGCTCGCTGACTTGGTTGACACGTCATCGGTTCCCCATTGCGTATATCGATGCTCATGCTGTTGACCACTGGATTGCCTGGTCCAGACTTGATTATTTACAGACCGCCGCCATATAGCTGGGATATTAGTGACTGCGGCGTGAAACTATATGCAGTCGCCTCTTACGACAAGCATGGGTTACTGAAGATTCACTCTAATCCAAACCCCATACTCACTGACTACAGACATCACGCAATCATTTCAAAATTATCTCACAATTTCACGTAAAGGTTCTTGTCGCCTTTTTTTAACAAACTGCTGTTTTCTCCTTCATGTGCAGACTGAAATAGCAATACGTCTTGAAAGAAAAGGTTTTAACGAAATCCGCTGTTAACTTTCAGATATCAGTTCTACAGTGTTGAATGGAAGCGACATTAATTCAACACTGACATCTCAAAACAGAACCGGAAGCTTTGCTGTCGGAGGATGGGAGAAGTCAGCATTAGCTCACACGGCTGCTGAAGAATTCTGGCAGTGGGTAGATTTTTTCTTCATGGAAGTTGAGAAAACATTAACGACAATGTATATTCTAAACTATTCCGGTAGTTATCGGGGCGGTGGGGTAGCCAAGTGATCAGAGCATTCGCTGGTCCCTTGACCCAAGTTTGACTCCTTACATGGGCACACTGTAGGAAGCCAATTTCTGGTGCTCCTCGCCGTGATATTGCTGGAATGTTGCTAAACGTGGCATAAAACGTTATCACCAGAAATAACAAATACATTTTTTTTTAAAAATGCATATACTTTGCTGTTTTCATCATCATTGTATTGCTGTTTTTGTTTATTACGATGTTTTGTTTAGGTGGCGGGGCTCTGAACACATGACATATTTTTTGAATAATTTTACACCTATGAGGGTCAGTGACTTCACTTTCGCTATTATATGAGTGAGTGAGTTTGGTTTTACGCCACTTTTAGCAATATTCCAGCAATATCACGGCGGGGGACACCAGAAATGGGCTTAACACATTGTACCCATGTGGGGAATCGAGTCCGGGTCTCCGGCGTGACGAGCGAACGCCTTAACCACTAGGCTACCCCACCGCTCCAACTATTATATGAAACTCAAAAACTAAAACTAAACTCACTCACGCAAGTCCAGTATATTTATCAGGTACGGCTAAGCGTGATTAGGACACGATTTTTCAGAAGTCTAATCCGAATTGTTAAGCTATTAAATGTTTTACCAAATTATCAATATTATATAATTAGTGTAAATGGGTGGGTATGGATTTATTTATCTGTGAAGTGATTTTCAACAACAAGAGTTGAAAACTGTCGTAAGAGGCGACTAACGGCTCAGGTAGTCAGACTGACAGACGTGGTTGACATATTGTCATTGCATACCAACTGCGTAGGTCGATGCTCATGTTGTTGATCACTGGGTTGTCTGGTCCAGGATCGATTATTGACAGACCGTCGTTGTCTTGCTGGAATCTTGCTGAGTGCGACGTTAAACAACGAAGAATGACATACCATATCAGCAATAGCGGGTGATATCCACCAGTTGAACACTACCTAGCTAATTCTGGGTAACTTACTGATGAACGTCAACATGTGATTACCTTATCAGATGAGCAGAGAGAATGAGTGAGTGAGTGAGGTTAGTTTTACGCCGCACTCAGCAATATCCCAGCTATATGGCGGCGGTCTGTAAATAATCGAGTGTGGACCAGACAATCCAGTGATCAACAGTATGAGCATCAATCTTCGCAAATGGGAACCGAGCAGAGAGAATGAATGAATGAATATTGCTTTAAGACGCATCATCAGATATTGGGAGTGAAAGATATCAAATATCAAATTTAACGGTGAAGACTGACTGTTGAGATAAAAATCTGTATTTTGTTGAAGAGGTTTATTTCTTTGAAATATGCTAAAAACAAATGTTTCTAAACTGTTCTAAAAGCTCATTTTGGTGGGAACATCATTATAGGACGGTGTCTGATATGGGCGAAATCCACACATTCAAGTAAAATGGAATAAATACTAATTAGTGTGTGACATGGAATGCATTGGGTGAGCAGAGCCACACAACCGCTTAAGGGAATGGACAGATAAAGAACTGGGTTCTGTTTCACAAAGCGATCTCAGTGCTACTACTATCGTAACACTATGTTAGGAGATATTGTCGTAGCGCTATGATCAGTTTGTGAAACACGGTCCTGGGTACCGATCGAAAAGGCGTTAGTCACCTTACGGCCTGTCGTAACTATATAAACTAGCCACATAAAGAAACTGTGCATTGTCAAAATATTATCCCAGTTGATAAGTACGATAACAATGTCAAAGGCACATATAAACTTTAATGGAGGGATCATGAGACCATAACAAGTCGGGAGAATTTCAATTGAAAAGCCAATCACAATGACGTCACGAGTCCACAAGCGGGACAGGGGTCAAACGACCATGTCACAAGCTCAATAACGAGATGTCCACCATCGGCATTGAGAACAGCAGTGCATCAACGACGCATAGAGTCTGTCAAACGTGCAAGGAAGACTTGTGGGATGTCACGCCAGATTCTCTCAGGTTCTGTTGCAAGGTCAAGGACGTTATCTGGCGGATGAGGAAGACGGCGTAGACATCGATCCATCTCGTCCCAAACATGCTCTATCGGGTAGAGATCCGGTGAATTTGCAGGCCAAGGCAGTAAATCAACGTTGTCGTGTTGCAAGAAATCCATAGCAACCCTTGCCGTATGAGGGCGGGCATTGTCGTGTTGGAATGTTAACCCAGGGCCATGACGTTGCAGAAAAGGAATTGCAACAGGTCGAAGAATCTGATCCCTCGAGCCCACACCAGTTAAGTTGCCCTGAACAATCACCAAAGGAGTTCTTTGGCGTGCTGTTATTCCACCCCCAAATCATCACGAAACCACCACCAAAGCGATTCCTCTCCAAGACACAGGCTTGTGCATAACGTTCTCCCACGCGTCTATAGGCGCGTTGACGTCCATCACTATGGGAAATGTTAAACCTGGACTCATCTGTAAAAACAACATTTCTCCACCAAAACAAGGGTCTGCGGACATGATTTCGGCACCACATTCGGCGAGCTTGTCGATGACGTTGTGTCAGGATAGGCCGTATGGCGGGACGTCGTGGTCTGATCCCGTGATGACGTAAACGTTGTCGAACTGTGTTGGGGTGGATACGGCGAAGTCCTGTGATGGTTCGAGCAGTCATCACTGCAGTCTAAAACCTGTGGCGAAGATGGGCTCCCCTTATCCATCTGTCCTGTTTTGGCGTTGTTACACGTGGACGTCCAGAACGTGGCCGATCGATAACGTCATTTGTGTTCTGGTAGCGTCTCACCAGTGCAGAAATAGTGTTCCGGTGGCAGTGGAAGCGTGCAGCCACTTGTCGTTGAGACATTCCCCCACAGACCATCCCAATGGCCTCATGACGTTGTGCAGACGTGAGCCTTGGCATGCTATATGTTTCAATAGCCGTTTAATGTTTTGAACGGTCGCAAGGGCAGGGGTTGAGCTTTCCAAAGTGACAATATTGTGTGGCATTCATTTGCTCTGTTTCTCTTTTCCGGACTGCTCGTGCAACAACGTATTGCACGTCTCAAGGACGAACCCACTGACGTCACGGAACGTGGCACGTGCATGCATGTTGGATACATGTCACTAATCTCTGAGTTTAAATCCTTTTGTGTCTACACAGGTTTGATAAATTTAGATTTTAAATTTTTGTATGCACAGTTTCTTTATGTGCCTATTATAGTTTATCAAAGGCTTACGAATGTCGTAGCGCTACTAACGTTTAGTAGCTCAGGCTTAGATGACGTTGGCGGAGTCAAGTGGGAGCTTCTTCTGTGCCTCTTCATCTCATGGGCGATCATCTTTGGATGTGTGTTTAAAGGTGTCAAATCAGTCGGGAAGGTAAGACATAATTGCTGACAGATTATGTCATTACTGTATTGTGATGTTTTTGTTTTTATAAATCTTAAAATAGATACGTATTGTACGTTGAAATATAAAGTATATGTGTGTGATGTCATTGGCTCAACAAAGATGTCATTTGGAACAATCTAAAACATAAAGAAAAAATATACAACTACACAATCACAATCATACTCACAAATACAAGAGTGGGACCAAATATAATGGATGAACGAAGACGTCTTTTGAAACAACCTAAAGCAAAGCGAAACCAATATAAACCGCCTAACAAGAGCTAGAGCACTTGTCAGAATTGGAAATTGGGCCTTATGGTGAAGGGGTTTACTTGTCAAGCAAAAGGGTACAATGATTGAAGCACACATCTGGTGTCCCCAGCCATGATATTGCTAGAATATTGCTGATAGTGCACAAAACTCATATCACTCCTAAAGGATCGTCAGAAATGTTTACTGTGAAACAAAAACTTAAAAGAAAATAAAGAAGATAATTGTGTGACTCTTCACTTGAAGCCAAAACAATATCCTGGTGATCTTTTTGCAGGGGGCGGTGGGGTAGTCATGTGGTTAAAGCGTTCGCTCGTCATGCCGAAAGCCCGGTTAGGATTCCCCACATGGGCACATGTGCGAAGTCAATTCCTGGTGTCCCCCACCGTGATATTGCCAAAAGCGGCGTATAACTAAACTCACTCACTCCTATTGCCTGAAACGCACTCAGCAATATTCCAGCTGTAAATGGACCAGTAATCTCTCACTCTTATTGCAGGCTGTTTATGTCACAGCGACACTTCCATACATTTTCCTCTTCATCCTGCTTGTCCGTGGTTTGACTTTGCCAGGGGGACCAAGCGGGGCTCTCTTCTACCTCACACCAGATTTCAGCAAACTACTGGACATACAGGTACAGTCCGTTTGGCTCAAATTTTGAAAAGCGGACCGATGAATTGCAATCTAACTCGAAAACTCATAAACATAACATACTCAATGAAACGCTGATCATAATCAAAACATCATACCCACACTGAGAGGTTTTTGCAGAATTTTAGTCCTAAAAATAAAAAAGTTGTTTAACAAACTATCATTAAAATATTGACACAGTTCACTATTTGTTACGAGCGAGGAGTGCGGAGAAAAGGACAGCCAGGTGTTCGCCAAACACGTTCACAGACAAAGTTATTTATTCATTAACCTGTGCTGTGCCGTCTCCATCCGTTCTCGAACACCTGGCTGTCCCTTTCTCTGCACTCCTCCTCCTTTGATTATGATCAGCGTTTCATTGAGTATTTTATGTTTATTAGTTTTCGAGTTAGATTGCAATTCATCGGTCCGCTTTTGCGCCAAACGGACTATACGTCATGATTAAGGAAGGAAGGAAATGCCATTAGATCTAATTATGTGTTTACATCAATGGGACATATGCCATATTAGTGGAACATTGAATGTTTATGCAAGCAGTGCAAGGAATTTTATAGGATTTTGTTGGTTTGTTGTTCAACGCCGCACTCAACAATATTACAGCAATATAGCGGCGGCCTGTAAATAATTCAGTCTGGACCAAACAATCCAGTGATTGACATCGTGGTCATGCATCGATCTTTAGAATATTGGAACACGATGACATGTGCCAAAAAGTCAGCGAGTCTGACCACCAGATCTCCTTAGTCACCTCTGACGACAAGCATGGGTTCCTGAAAAACATTTTTTTGGCACAAACAACAACCAAGGAAGCTGGGATACCGACTTGGAGTTGGAAGTACTTAATTTATCCATCTACTGCAAGGCAGAATTACAACGAGTACCACCTTTCATGGTCCGTTGATGCAGCTTGGTTTTGTTTTCTTTCTTATTGTGTTTTGTAATTTGTGTTTTTGAACAAGCACATTGTTGCTAGGTGTGGCTGGCAGCCTGTGCCCAGGTGTTCTTCTCTCTGGGTCCTGCATGGGGAGGAATCATTACCCTGGCAAGCTACAACACGTTCCATGCAGATTGTCTCAGGTAATTTGAACAAGGACGTCGTGACATGATGAGTTTTGGTGGTGGTGATGGTGGAATTGGGTTTAACGTCGTGCTTGAGAATATTTCGCTCATATGACGACGTGCATGCGTGTGTATGTGTATGTGCGGCTGCTTGTACTAGCCCAGACTTAAGCTGGTTTTATAGTGCTAGCCCACTGAGATACCATGCCGCAGTGAAGCATGAACACCCCACTCAGACACATCATACTGACTCCGAGCCGACCAGTCCTTGCTGTACCCATTAATGCCGAGCGCCAGGCAGGGACCAACAAGTACCATATTTTAACGTCTTTTGGTATGACGCGGTCGGGGATCGAACCAACGACCTTCCGCACTCCGGGCGGACACTCTAACCACTACACCACGGAGGCGGTCTGATGAGTTTTGGGGTCAAGTAGAGTACAATGACCAACGGTTGATTGTAAATCCATCTTGTGTCCATGCAGGTAGCAAAAGTAACGTAGTGAGTGAGTGAGTTTAGTTTTACGCCGCACTGAGCAATATTCCAGCTATATGGCGGCGGTCTGTAAATAATCGAGTCTGGACCAGACAATCCAGTGATCAACAGCATGAGCATCTATCTGCGCAATTGGGATACGATGACATGTGTCAACCAAGTCAGCGAACCTGACCACCCGATCCCGTTAGTCGCCTCTTACGACAAGCATGGGTTACTGAAGATCAATATTCTAACCTGGACCTTCACATGTGCAAAAGTACCATTAGTCCCCATGAAAATGTTTTAGAGATAGATGCTTTTTTAATTGTTTTGTGATATATTCTAGTCTTTCGTCGACAGGTAATTACAATTTAAGTGTGTTTCTCATGAACTGATAACTTGTTTTAGTCACGATATGACTGAAGTATTGCCGATGTGACTTCAAATCTTAACGCACTCTCTCGTGATGTATAATTTATCAAACATGTTATTTCATGTTTAGAGTATCTGATTGACTACACCTGTTTGCATTTCATTGGAACGGTTTTGTTGGGTTTAATGTTGATAAAACACTTTTGTGTCGAGTTGAAGGGACCAATACAGTCAAACACTGTTATGTCGAAGTTGAAGGGTGGTGAGGTGAGGTGAAATTGGGTTTAACGTCGCGCTGGAGAATATTTCGCTCATATGACGACGTGTATGCGTGTGTATGTGTAGGTGCAGCTGCAGACTTAAGCTGGTTTTATAGTGCTAGCCCACTGAGATACCATGCCGCAGTGAAGCATGAATACCCCACTCAGACACATTATACTGACTCCGAGCTGACCAGTCCTTGTTGTACCCATTAATGCCGAGCGCCAGGCAGGGACCACGAATACCATATTTTAACGTCTTTTGGTATGACGCGGTCGGGGATCGAACCCGATACCTTCCGCTCTCCGGGCGGACGCTCTAACCACTACACCACGGAGGCGGTCGAAGTTGAAGGGATCTACGTAAATGTGAAGGTATGTGCGAAGTACTAGTATATAACGTTCCGTTTTTGTTCCGTCACTTCCTGAATATATAGTCGAAATGTGTGTAACGAACTACGGTTATTACAAACTTAAATTTGAGTTCGTTACAGGCGTAGTTTACTTTATTCCGAGTAATTCGAGATTCAACACAATCGAAAGGTATATGAATAAAAAAATACGATGGGACCAAACATTTACTTCGAGACAACGTCAAGTTCAACACAACAGTGTTAGACTGTAACATATGCTATATTTGGGATTACACTTTCTTAGTAAAGTACAGATTCTAGTACCTTTTGGGGTTGAGTCCCATCCGGGATTCGAACCCACACCCTCAGAGTCAGGCACCTAATCGCCAACACACAGAGTCAAGCTGGCGATTAGGTGCCTGACTCTGAGGGTATGGGTTCGAATCCCGGATGGGACTCAACCCCAAAAAGTACTAGAATCTGTACTTTACTAAGAAAATGTAATCCCAAATATAACATATGTAACATTTGATCACTTTCTAAAATGGCATTGTGTATTTCATAGTGTTTGACTTTATATCAACTGCAGGGGCGGTGGGGTAGCCTAGTGGTTAAAGCGTTGGCTCGTCACGCCGAAGACCCGGATTCGAATCCCCACATGGGTATAATGTGTGAAGCCCATTTCTGGTGTTCCCCCGCCATGATGTTGCTGGAATATTGCAAAGCGGCGTAAAACCAAACTCAGTCAGTCAGTTATATCAACTGCAAAAAATAATACTAGAACACTTGTAATGCGCATATATCCATGGCTGTTTGCATCCTCACAGCGCGCAGTGAGAAAAAGTTTGAGAGAAGAGATATTAAGTTTGCTTAATAGTGAGTGAGTGAGTTTTACGCCGCTTGTAGCAATATTCCAGCAATATCACGGCGGGGGAGACCAGATATGGGCTTCACACATTGTGCCCATGTGGGGAATCGGCATGACGAGCAAACGCCTAAACCACAAGGCTACCCCACCGTCTAAACCACTAGGCTACCCCACCGCCCCAGGGGCTTAATAAGACCTATAGTTCAGCAGTAATAACTAAATGTATGTAAGAAAAATATGTAGAAAACACAAAAATATGTTAAGATTTCACAATTGATATGCGAATTAGTTTTGTATTAACCCATGCTCGTCGTAAGAGGCGACTAACGGGATCAGGTGGTCAGGCTCGAAGACTTGGTTGACACATGTCATCGTATCCCAGTTGCTTAAATCGATGCTCATGCTGTTGATCACTGGATTGTCTGGTCCAGAATCGATTATTTACATACGGCCGTCATATGTAGCTGGAATATTGCTGAGTGCGGCGTAAAACTAAACTCACTCTTCATACAGTATAAACACTGACGTACAACCAGTATTTTGATTATAATGATATACGAACATTTCGGGGTTTTGTCGCTAGGAATGCAATCCTCTGTACGTACGTTTGTGGAGGAACCAGCTTATTTGCCGGATTGGTCGTCTTCTCTGTTCTTGGATTCATGGCTCATGAAGCGGATGTACCGGTCACAGAAGTCGTATCCTCGGGTAATATGCATTTCCTAATAATTTGACAATGAAATTTCCCTAAAGTTGACAATATAATACAATCAAATTGTTACTGTCATTATCCGTGAAGGTCCCGGTTAGAATTGGTCTTCAGAAACCCATGCTGATCATAAGAGGCGACTAACGGGATCGGGTGGTCAGGTTCGCTGACTTGGTTGACACATGTCATCGGATCACGTTTGCGTTGATCGATGCTCATGCTGTTGACCACTGGATTGCCTGGTCCAGGATCGATTATTTAGTTGGAATATTGCTGAGTTTGGCTTTAAACAAACAAATTTCATTTTCAAAGGATTACATTCTTGTGGATAAAAAGGAGTAAAATGTGTTTGTTAATTGAGAAATAACTGGTAGTTTTTATTAAACATCGTGTATTATTGCGTCCTTTAATTCTTCTTCAAATCTTAACCATGAGAACAATATTTGTTCCAGGACCAGGGTTGGGCTTTGTTGTCTATCCAGAAGCCCTGGCACAGCTTCCGGTTCCTCAACTATGGAGCTTTCTCTTCTTTATTATTCTAATGTTGTTGATATTGGATACAATGGTGAGAATAGTTTGTTGAATTTGAAAAGGTTTTTAAAAGATAGAGGATTCGTCACGAGTGTTTTTTTTAACCGAGTCTGCGAGGCCAATTCCAATTAACGGCACAAGGTTGTTATTTTCCCTATTGATTTTAAAACACTTGTGATGAAATCTATTCATCATATTCAAATTGACACCCATAACGTTGCGAAATATATCTTGCATATTGATGCATATTTGAACAAGAAAACACGACCTATAAAGTCCTTTTTGGCATATTATTAGCTGCGAAAAAGTGTCCTCCGTGTGTTGAAAAGGAAATTTCTTGAACAAAGTTTTGCAGCATAATTCAAACTTTAGTATCTGTAACAACAACGATTCTATACGAAGACTGGTCATTTTCTCTTTGTTGCGCAACCCTGTTTGCTACAGTTTGCCTGTGCTTGAATGTTTCCTACATGCGATAAAACTATCTCTTCCGGTTATGTTACTTGCATATGTCTTATTTGCCTTCTTCAGTCTTTGGGTAGGTTGTTATGTTGTAAGTTTATGTCTTTGATAAATATGCCTTACTCATATAGTGATTACATTCACAAATCCGTTTCGTTCTGAACCATTTGCTAACATCGTGTTCATTCGTGCCCGACTTGTGATATTCCGGGAGAAGACGAAAAGCGGCTTTTGAAAGGGGAAAGTGGTCACGAATACATCGTATGAATCAAATAAAGAGTTGAGTTGAGTTGAGTTGAGCTTTACGTCACATCGGCATTTTTCCAGCCATATAGTGACGAGAACAAGTTTGCATTAGTAAACATTGTAAGTACGAGAACACTCGGGTGAGTTTTATTTCAAAGACATTTATTTATTACATTGTCATTCAAAAGCAGAAAAGTCATAGCATCAAATTTAAAGGCAGGCGGTTTGTTACGTTTCATAGTTACAATTTATGGTTGTTACATTTCACAGTTACAATTTATGATACAGATGAACTTCCCTCAGGTAGTTCAGTATCAGATGGGCGCTCACGCGTGAGAACAGATCTTTTAGGTTTGTTGCATCATAATGTGAGTCCCTTGCAGGCGATAAGTCCACGCATTCAAGCAGAATATGCTTGACGGTGATCACCTCATTGCAAAGAGACACACATGGGGGGTCCATCCCCATCCGTTTTCAGCAGATAGTCATGTGTAAATCGACTGTGGCCAATACGACATCGTCGTAGAATTACCTCATCGCGTCTTGACTGACAACCCAAGTAGGTATAACCAATTGTTGGCTTCAATTCATGGAGTTTGTTTCTTCCTACTTGAGTGTCCCACCTTTTGCATCAGGTCCCGAGTATAGCTTTTGATAGTGGGTTTGAAGTCACTGTACGGGATTAGCAGTGGAGATAAGGGCTTTTCAAGAGCTGCTTTTGCTGCAGCATCGGCCTTTGTGTTACCTGCTATGCCGACGTGACCCGGCAACCAGCAGAGGACGATGTCATATTGGCCAGTAGAAAGGTCGTTGTACAGTTCTAATATGTCCAGGATGATTGGGTGACTTGAAGTCACGTTTAGAAGTGCTTGAAGGCAGGATAATGAATCTGTAAATACGATGAAGTTTTTGGACTGATTTTGCTGTTGAATGTAGGTCAAAGCTGAGAAGATAGCTTTGGCTTCAGCGGTGAAAATGGAACTGTTGTCGGGGATCCTAGAGGAGACAGTCTTGGCTCCGATGACTGTAGCGCTGGCAACTTGGCCATCGTCCTTGGATCCGTCTGTGAAAATGGATCTGTGAGTGTTATACTTCGTACGTAACTGGTTGTATTCCTGTTGGAACACCAGGGATTTGTTTCAGACTTTTTGAGTTTGGTGAGGGTAAGATCGACCTGTGGTTTCACCATTTGCCATGGTGGTGAGGACAGAAGTCGGTATGGTGCAATGATGTCGAGATCAATTTTAGCTGCAGATATGTGTGGTTTGATCCTGATTCCAAGTGGTGGAACCAGGCTTGGCAGTTTAGGAAATAAGTTTTCATAGAGCGGGTTGAAAACACAATTGTATGCTGGATTGGGCTCATTTGAACGTAATTTAGTGATATACTGCAGTGAGAGTTTAATGCGGCGTTGTTCAAGGGAAGGTTCATTGGCCTCTGCATATAGACTGTCTACCGGAGAGGTCCTAAAAGCTCCCAGGCAGAGCCTCAGTCCTTGGTGGTGGATAGAGTCTAATTTTTCTAAATTGCTTTTGCAGGCTCCACCGTAGACAATGGAGCCATAATCTAGTTTACTGCGAACTAATGATCTGTACAAGTGAAGTAGGGTGGTCTGATCCCCTCCCCCACTCTGTATTTGAAACTACTTTTAGCAAGTCTAGAGCCTTCAAGCACTTGGTTTTCAAATATTTTATGTGTGGTAAGAATGTCAGGTGGCGGTCGAATATGAGTCCAAGGAATTTGGCCTCTTCTACTACCTTGATGGGAGTACCATCTAAAGTTAGGTCTGGATCCTTGTGTGGTTTGTATTTACGACAAAAATGAATACAATTTGTTTTGGATTTTGAAAACTTAAAACCATTTTCATTGGCCCATTTTGGATTTTGTTAAGGCAGAGTTGTAGCTGCCTTTCTATTGCGTGCATGTTCTTACCACGACATGAAATATTGAAGTCATCCACGAAAGGGACCCATCAACGCAACTGTTCAGAACGTTAGTGAGGCTGTTAATTTTGATGCTAAAAGTGTGACAGACAGGATGCTGCCTTGGGGACGCCCTGATCTTGGTGGAAATAGTCGGACAGTGTGGAACCCACCCGAACTTGAAAATGTCTGTTATTTAAAACCGAGATATGAATTGAGGTAATCTACCCCTCAATCCAAACTCGTGTAAATCTTTTAGGATACCATGTTTCCATGTTGTATCATATGCTTTTTCTAAGTCGAAAAAGATAGATACTGCATGTTGTTTGTTGACAATGGAGTTTTGATGAATGATTCTAGACGCACCAGATGGTCAATGGTACTTCGGTTTTCGGAAACCACATTGGAGGTCACTGAGGAGGTTATTGGTCTCCAGGTACCAGATTAATCGATTGTTGACCATGCGCTCCATGGTTTTGCAAACGCAGCTAGTTAGTGATATAGGACGGTAGTTTGAGGGATCAGTATGATCGCGGCCAGGTTTTAGTATAGGGATGATAATGGCATTGTGCCACGAAGGGGAAAGTGTCGGATGTCCAGATGTCATCAAATATATTTAGGAGTGTTTCCAAGCCTGAGTCAGGGAGGTGTTTCAGAAGCTGATAATGGATTTCATCAGCTCCTGCCGCAGTGTCGTGAGCCTGTCCTAGGGCAGTACTTAATTCATGGAGGAGAACATTTCGTTGTAATCCTCCCCATTATCAGAGTTAAAATTGACTGGTTTCTTTTCTTGTTGGGTTTGATATTTCTGGAACCGAGGGTTATAATTTGATGAGGAGGAGTGGTTTGCCAAAGTTTCACCGAGTTTGTTTGCAATCTCAGATTTATTTGTTAGAAGGAGTCACCATCTTTCAGGTGGTGAACTCCTGATTTTGACCCTTGCCCTTGATCTTTTGAATCATGTTCCACACCTTGGACATGGGTGTCGCGGGAGTTGATTTTGGACACATATTTCCTCCATGAGCGGCGTTTAGTTTGTTTGAAGGTACGTTTTGCCCTGGCATTTGTCATTTTAACAGCATTCAGGTTGTGCACTGTAGGATGTTGTCGGAAATATTTTCCGCCTTCTTCCTATTTTTCCTAGCTTGTTTGCAGTTTGTATCAAACCATGGTTTTGCGTATGTGCGGGTTTGCAGAGGACTTAGGAATACTTTTGTCTCCGATGGCATTTAGGACGTCTGAAAATAGTTCCATGGGGTCAGGAACATTCCTGAAGTTGTCCGGCTTAAGTTTTTCTGAACATAGGGTTTGGAATAAAGGCCAATTGGCCTTAGTAAAATTCCATCTTGTTGATGGTGGTTCATCCGTGGGGTTGATAGGAGTAAGAATTGTTGGGAAGTGGTCGCTTCCACAAAGGTCGTCATGGACCGACCATTCGAACTCATTTAAAAGATTAGAATCTGTAAGTGATAGATCGAGAGCAGAGTATGTTCCGGTGGCAGGGTGGAGGTAGGTGTTTGATCCATCGTTGAAGATGCAGACATCATTATTTGAGAGAAACTCTTCAAGTATCTTTCCCTTACTATTTGTATCAGTACTCCCCCATAGGGGGTTATGGCCGTTGAAGTCGCCCATGATTATGCAGGGCTTCGGGAGTTGATCATATAAGTTCTGAAGATCTGATAGGCGAACAGTTGAGGTGGGAGGAGATAGAGGAACATAGTGTAAACCCTATGTTCAGAGTCATGCGGACAGCAACAGTTTGTAGGTTGGTTTTAAGTGGGACAGGGCTATGAAGGATGCCCTGCCTCACCAGGATAGAAGTGCCTCCTGTAGCCTTTACACGGGGAGAAAAGGAATGGTAGGAACTGTACCGACGGATGTCAAATTTATCGGTCCTTTTTAGGTAGGTTTCTTGGAGACAAAACGCAGATGGTTTGAAGTCTTGAATCAATAACTGTAATTCATTATAATTATTCTTAAGTCCTCTGCAATTCCATTGGATCATGTTTTGTGGATTCATGGTGCTTCCACTGGTGACATGTCACGTGAGCGTGAAGCGTTTGATGAACTCTTATTGGTGTCAGGTGGAGTTGGAGTTACCTCCATATCCAGAGGGCCAAAGGAGTTATGGACCTCGATGGGGACCTCTGAAGGAGAGGTGGCCTTTGGTTTTGTGTTTGGTAGTTCAAGTTGTTTTAGTCTCTCTAGCCTCTTTCTTTCCCTTTTTTTCTGCGCGTAGATTCTGTTTCTGGTTTTGGCATTTGTTCTGGTGTTTGTGATTCAGAAGTTTTGACTTTTGGCGTTGGAGATGGAGTGGCTGAGATAGGCTGAGTTGTGTTGAGTTCAGTTGGCTGAGAAGACGTGACCCATGTCAGGTCGGTCTGACATGAGATGGTTGCAGTAGTGATAGTAGGACGGGAGACAGCGGCAGAGTAGGTGATGGTTGAAGGGGCTGCAGTTAGACTTGCAACCCTCTTCTTTGCTTCGTGAAAGGAGATATTTTCTTTGTGTTTAATCTTCAGTATCTCGGATTCGCGTTTCCATACTGGGCAGAACTTGGAAGAGGCCATATGGTTTACCACCGCAGTTTGTGCACTTCACTTCCTTAGTACAGTCGTTGCCCTCATGCTTGTCACCACAGCGGTAACAGACAGCAGAGGAACGACAGGACTTGGATCCATGTCCAAACTTTTGGCAGTTGTAGCACCGGAGTGGATTGGGGACATACACCTCCACACCAATGCTACAATAACCAGCTCTAATCGAGTCAGGAATGTTTGCTCGCGCGAACGTGAAGAGATAGGTGTTCGTTGGTTGAACAGCACCATCCTTTTTGAAGGTAAATCGTTTGGACGGCTGTGACGGATTGCTGAGAGAGTTCCTTGACAATTTGTTCTTCGGTCATGTCAGACAGGCATCGAGCTCTGTCCCGTACAATGCCTCTACACGAATTAAGGGTTTTGTGTGCTGAGACAGCGACCTTGATATTTACAAATTCTTGTATTTTGAGAAGATTTAAAGATTGTTGTTTCCGGGTACATTCTATCAGGAGAGAGCCAGATCAGAGCTTTGTGACATTGGCAACCTCTCCGCAGATACCAGCGATACCTTTGGAGATTGCAAAAGGGTTCAATTGCAAAGGTTGCTTGTCACAAGCCTCAATAATCAGGAAGCGTGGCCAGTAGTCAGGTCGGGGGGGCGTACTCTCGTCAGACGAGGAATTGTCGGTATCCATGTGTCGTCGTTTTGAACCGGGGTATTGGGAAGCCATGTCGTGGGTAATGTGGTTCAGCATCCCCTCTCCCCACCCACCGTGGAGTGTCAACAAGGACGATCTTATATTGCAGCGGATCTCCAAGCTGCAAAGACCAGGGATAAAGGGATGTTATACTCCAGCGAATTTGACATGAAATGCTGTAGCTGCCTACCAGATTAAAGGTCAGGATGGTTCTGTCCATGACAATCAATTGGAGACGTACAGAAATCGGAGGTCAGCATCACCAGATTGGCCCATGAGCCACCGCCTTCTGTGCATGGGTCTGCGAGGCTAATTTGTTCCGTAGGATATTTGTTAGCATTTTGAACATGGCCAAAAGTGTTATGTAATACTACGTTTTGTATAGACATTCCATGCACAGGGCAAGGCGTGACCAGCCGATTGGTAGAATCGGGCCTATTCTACCACCCGTCTAGGCAAAGTTAGGGTCGAAGTGGTGTGTTGGATTAGTGAACACTATTGCCGGTTCCGTCATCCTCAACCACCAGACTCCCTTCCTCTGCCGACACAGGGATGCAACCCACGGCAAACGGGTTGCCCAATTTGATCGCCTCTTACGACCAGCAATGGGGTGCTGTGGACCTATTCGACCCGGGTCCACACGCGGGGGCGAAGAGCCATTAGCGTTACCCAGCACCCACCACGAGGAGGTTGCTCTTCAAGGGGTGCCTACAAAGTGCAACTAGAGTTAAATGGTTCTTATCATGAACATAGAGATTTTTTCTGGGTTACATCTTCTTTTTATTCTCGAGTACAACGTTTCAGGGCTTGTTCTGGCCCCATCATCAGTTTACCACTGATGATGGGGCAAGAACAAGCCCTGAAACGTTTACTGATGATGGGGCCAGAACAAGCCCTGAAACGTTGTACTCGAGAATAAAAAGAAGATGTAACCCAGAAAAAATCTCTATGTTCATCAAATATCATCTTCTAAAATGCCAATCAAGCATCTGGTTCTTATCATGTTTGTAGTTTTCAATGGTGGAGACTGTAGCGTCTGTCATCTTCGATGAATACCCCTCCCTGCTGAGATGGAGAAACACCGTGACGTTTGGCTACTGTTTCGGTTCCTTTCTGCTGGGAATTGTAATAACCACAGAGGTTTGTATTGAAATAATGTCTTTTTTTATTTCAGAATTCCCATAGCAGAATATATTTTACCACGTGGATAAATTAATGTAGTTTACTTGTTGACCCGTGAAGATCCGATTGAATTGATCTTCAGTCACCTATGCTTTTCGTAAGAGGCGACTAACGGGATCGGGTGGTCAGGCTCCTGAATTGGTTGACACATGTCATCGTATCCCAATTGATATTCATCACTGAATTGTGTGGTTGAGATTTATTTACAGATCGCCGCCATATAGCTAGGATATTGCTCGATACAGCGCTAAACAAAAAAAACAAACCAAAAAACCCAAAGGACACAAACACTTGCATGACCACAGCATAATAATGTATACCAACAAAAAAAATCGCATCATAATGGCAAGGATTTTTTAATAATTGCTGGGTGGTTGTTTTTTTAAGAAATGTTTGAATTTAGAATTGTTTGAAAAGTTTTGATGAATATGTTTTGTGAATAGATAAATAGCACAATCGCCAACCGCTGATGGTGTAAACCCAGCTTGGGCCCGTGCAGGAAATCACACGGCGCTTGTACCGTAAGACCCGTGGTCCTCACTGTGGTGATCTACCCTCAGTTGTTGGTGATCTTTAGCTTGTTTGATATGTTGTATTGTCTATGCTTTTAATTTTTTTAATGTAGTTGACGTCAAAATGGGCATACATATTGTACATGCTTTTCCATAAATATACTCATGCCAATAATGGTTGTCACCCCCTTCTATTTTTTATTTTTATTGGCGAGGGTGTGGGGTGTGGGGTTGGGGTGGGGAGGGCGGTGACAACCATTATTGGCATGAGTATATCATGAACACCCCTAGCCATAATTTATGAATGGCCCCTAATGTCGATGTGACACTGTAAACGTTAACTCACTCACCCAACAAATCAAATGTTGTTTCAGGGAGGAATGTACATCTTCCAGCTACTAGACTGGTACATGGCCGCCATCTTCCTGTTCTTTGCTGGTTTTCTTGAATGCATTGTACTGGGATGGATATATGGTATTAATATTATTGCTGTTATCACATATCACAATATTATTGCTGTTATCACATATCACAATATTATTGCTGTTATCACATATCACAATATTATTGCTGTTATCACATATCACAATATTATTGCTGTTATCACATATAACTATATTATGGCTGTTATCACATATCACAATATTATTGCTGTTATCACATATCACAATATTATTGCTGTTATCACATATCACAATATTATTGCTGTTATCCCCGCGGTCCTAAATCCCATCCACACATTATGCTTTGTGTTCTGTGGCCCTGCTAGTGTTAGTCCGATTAATTGAAATAATCGAAGATTGGTCGCAATGACAAAACGACCAAGCAATCGATCATGTTTTCTCATAATCGAACACAAACCATTTTGGACCACTTGTTTGCAATAACAATATTTTTCAAAAGGTTGATTTTGTCTCGACATTGTATAAGCACTACAAGCTCGTTCCAAGTCATGATTAAGTTTATCTTAACAACTCCAGGAAATGTATGTTCCTAACACACTAGTCATCCTTTAAAGATGTGAAATTTGCAAATGCATTTTGTGCAATTTGCGAAAAAGCCCGAGAGAACTACATGCTTTTTCTTTATTTTTTGTCCATTAACAAAAATAACCAGGAAAATTTGATAAATGACGCAAACCAATTATTTTCGATGATTGATCGGTTGTAACGAACCAATCATCAATTATGAGATTTACACCAATTCCCAACACTAAACCCTGCTGGCTGACGTATGAGAGTGAGTGAGTTTAGTTTTACGCCGCATGACGTATGAGGGAGTGTTTTCTGCTGTGTAACACCTTTTTGGCTAAATATATCAGGCTGCCTTTAGAACTTCAGCTTCACTCTCAGTGTAAAGTCCGCCATATAGCTGGAATATTGCTGAGTGCGGCGTAAAACTAAACTCACTCACTCACTCAGTGTAAAGTAAGAGAACTCATATCAACAACCAGTGATTCTCTGGACCCCTAAAAGTCCGGGTTAGAATTGGTTTTCAGCAACCCAGGATTGTCATAAGAGGCTCGCTGGCTTGGTTGACACATGTCATCGTATCCCAATTGCGTAGATCGATGCTAATGCTGTTGATCACAGGATTGTCTGGTCCAGACTCGATTATTTACAGACCGCCGCCATATGGCAGGGATATTGATCAACTAATCTCACTCACTCATTTTTATATAAACTCAAGCACCTTTAACTCGAACTTACCGTTCCTCGAAGTAAAACCTTGATCCCTGTGTATTCCTAATTTTGCCAGATTTTGCGGTTGTGTCGAACCACGTTGCAGTACGTGTATTTACAATTTTTTTAGTTTCGTGATTAGTATTTGCTTTTGTAACAGGAGTGAATCGGCTGAGCGCAGATATCGAACTGATGACTGGTCGGCCGACTCCGTGGTTCTTCAGAGTCACGTGGCGTTACGTCACACCAGCAATGCTCCTGGTACGGTTTGATCTGGGCCCCGTCTCACGAGGCGATCGTAACGTTAAACTTTAACATATTCTTACGACAGGTACAGCACTGGGATCGGTTTGTGAAACGGGACCCAGCATGATGAGGACACTTTTTAAAAAAAAAATAAAATTTTTTTTATTAGTCAAATATTACAGAAAACGCATTTCACGAGTATTTACAGTATACATTTTCCGGATTCAAACATTTTTTGAAATTTATGGTGGAAGCCTGTATTCTGCTGTTTTCTTTTCTTTTCTTTACCTCGCGTTACATGCACAACATATGCAATTTTTGTTATAAAGATGGGAAAGAAAGGAGAAATAAGGAAAGAGAGATAAGAAAAGATGAAAGAGTGCAGAGTGCGGCCTAGAAAACCTCACTATGTCAATTTGTTAGTTTAATCATTTTGAAAGAGACATAACCATTTTCTTTTGAAATCTGAGTGATCTTCACCAAAGATATGATGTTTTATAAAATAAAATAGTTGATTGAAATTATGATGAGGACACTTGTTTTTCAAACGTCAAATCCGAATTGTACTCACAAATGTCCTCAGACGGACCTGTCTAGGGAAGAACTGGCCTTCCTATCTTGTCGTAAGAGGCGGGCCGTGGGGAGCCATGTGATCAAAGCGTTCGCTCATCATGCCGACGATGTAGTTTCGATTCCCCATGTGTGAAGCCCATTTCTGGTGTCACCCGCCGTGATATTGCTGGAATATTGCTAAACTCACTGACTCATTCGTAAGAGGCGAGTAATGGGATTGGATGACCAGGCTCACTGACATCGCATCCCAATTGCGAATATCGATGCCCATGCTTTTGATCACTGGATTATCTGGCCCAGGCCGCCGCCAAATAGCTGGAATATTGCTGAGTGCGACGTTTAACAACAAACAAACAAACAAAAAGGTAAATGTGAATGTGGTCTATAAACAGATTTTCTTGACTGGGGCGGTGGGGTAGCTTAGTGGTTAAAGCGTTCGTTCGTCATGCCGAAGACCCGGGTTCGATTCCCCACATGGGTACAATGTGTGCAGCCCATTTCTGGTGTCCCCACCGTGATATTGCTGGAATATTGCTAAAAGCGGTGTAAAATCCAACTCACGCACGTACGTATTTTCTTGACCGTTTCAGATCGTTTTCATTTCCACTCTGACAAAATACGTGCCTCCGACGTATGGCCACTATGTGTATCCTGCCTATGCTGCCTCCATCGGTTGGTCCATTGCAGTCATTCCGTGCATCCCATTTGTTGTCATGATGTTTGTGACCATTTACAAAGAAGACGGTACCTTATTACAGGTAATATAATATGTGTTTGATTTTTAATGTATGCCAAAATAATTACTGGAGATATAGATGAGTGAGTGAGTCAGTTTAAGTTTTACGTCACTTTCACTAATATGACGGTGGGTGATACCAGAAATAGGCTTCACACATTGTACCTATTAGGGGAATCGAACCAGGTCTTCGGCGTGAGGTCGGAACGCTTTAACCACAAGGCTACCCCATCACCCCAGATATAGATGAACTAGATCTCATCCAAAATACGCAAGAACCAGTGTTCAAACGTTATATCTTATAGTTCGTTATAAACGACGTTTCCCGTATTTCACAGAGAATCATTCAATCTCTGAGGCCAGCTGAATCCTGGGGACCAGCCCACTCATCATATCGGGAGCTGTATTTCACAGAGAATCATCCAGTCTCTCAGGCCAGCTGATTCCTGGGGACCGGCCCACCCATCGTATCGGGAACTGTATTTCACAGAGAATCATCCAGTCTCTGAGGCCAGCTAAATCTTGGGGACCAGCCAAACCATTATATCGGGACCTGTACTTCACAGAGAATCATCCAGTCTCTGAGGCCAGCTGAATCCTGGGGACCAGCCTACCCATCATATCGGGAACTGTATCATGACAGAAACAACACGACTGACTCCTTCAGAGTTTCCTTACCTCCCTTGATATCTTATCAGTAGTATTGTTTCACCTCAAGCTCTCTTAGTATTGTATCACCTCTGACACTCTTCTGTGTTTAACAGCAAAATATTTAAGTTTTTAGCTCTGTGGCTAATCTTGTCTCTGGATTTGCCTTCTGTTGGTCTCTCTGCCGTCTTCCCACTATCTGTCGACTTTCCTTCTTGCCTATACTCCTGTTTTTAAGTGATGTGAAATTGGGTTCAACGTTGCACTTAAGAATATTTCGATCACATGACGACATGCATGTGTGTGTATGTGTGGCTGCTTGTACTAGCCTAGGCTTAAGCTGGTTTTGTAGAGCTAGCTTAGTCGGATACAATGCCGCATTTAAGCATTAATGCATTAATCATACATTATCAGACACATTATACTGACTCCGAGCCGACCAGTCCTTGTTGTACCCATTAATGCGCCAGGCAGGAGCCAACAAGTACCATATTTTAACGTCTCTTGGTATGACGCGGCCGGGGATCTAATCTACGACCTTCCGCTCTCTGGGCGGCGCTCTAACCCCACTTCACCAGAGAGTCTTTCTGTTCTTGAATACACGTTTCGGCAATTATTATGGACATAACCTGCTCAACTGGACATATTGTTTACTAGCTTGACCCATCCCTGACATGTGTGGTGGTGGTGGAATTGGGTTTAACGTCGTGCTTGAGAATATTTCACTCATATGACGACGTGCATGCGTGTGTATGTGTATGTGCGGCTGCTTGTACTAGCCCAGACTTAAGCTGGTTTTATAATGCTAGCCCACTGTGATACCATGCCGCAGTGAAGCATGAATACCCCACTCAGACACATTATACTGACTCGGAGCCGACCAGTCCTTGCTGTACCCATTAATGCCGAGCTCCAGACAGGGACCAACAAGTACCATATTTTAACGTCTTTTGGTATGACGCAGTCGGGGATCGAACCCGCCACCTTCCGCACTCCGGGCGGACGCTCTAACCACTACACCACGGAGGCTGTCCTTGACATGTGTACACGACAAATACTGAGCATGGTTAATTAGTTTTTGTCTTCTGAGTTGCGCTCATATTTATCTCTCTGATAATGAAATGGTGATATTAAAGACAAGAGGCGGCGGGGTAGCCTAGTCGTTAAAGCGTTCGGTCGTCACACCGAAGACCCTGGTTCGATTATCCGCATGGGCACAATATGTGAAGCCCATTTCTGGTGTTCCCCGCCGTGATACTGCTGGAATATTGCTTCAAGCGGGGTAACATTAAAACTCACACACCCACACTACTAAAGACTAACATCGTAATAATTTGAGGGATACTTCAAGGTTCGACACAACCACAATTTGTGACTACATTTGGTATACACAAAGACCAAGCATTTACTTCCAGACAACTGTATGTTCCACATCAAACAGCGTTTAACTCTGTTTGTAAATATATTCAAACTTGTTAGTAATTATGAGATAATCAATAAATTGAAATTGCTTTTGCTTAGAGTAAGTGTGGAACTTTGTGTACAAAACAGAACAACTATTTATGAGGTAATTATTTGAAGCACATCTG